GTCTGGGTGGCTGAACGAAGGGGTGGCCAGTGGCAGTTCACCACTGTGTCCTAATAGGATTACCATCCAATGATGAATCATTTTGACCTTTAGAGATGTAGTATAAAAACCATTTTTTCAATCAATACATTTAGGAAAACACGGAAAATAAATAAGAAGTCTTCGCTATATAGACTGAAATAACTATTACTATTTTGAAGATGATTCCTTTACAGGATTCTCAGTTTCAGTCTCAGTCTGTACTCCTTTATTCCTTTAATCTTTACACTTACCTGCACGTGACTATTTCTAATATGCTGAACATGAATGGGGTATTCTGTTCTAAAATGTTTTTCATTTTTTCTTTTCTGTGGATGGCTGTCTGGTTCTCTGTTTGGTCTAGTTTTGTCTTAATTGAAATGTACAATGAACTGGTTTACGTTCTAAATGAACGTAGTTACTCAGGCAGCTTGGCTATTTGTGGGGGACAATCCCTCTGTGAAACTTCCTAACTGTGTTTCTCGACTCCAAGTTTTTTTTTTGAGACAGAGTCTCGCTTTGGTTGCCAGCCTAGAGTGAGCGCGCGTGGGCGTTAGCCTAGTTCACAGCAACCTCAAACTCCTCGGGCTCAAGCAGATCCTTCCTGCCTCAGCTCCCGAGTAGCTGGGACTACAGGCATGCGCCACCATTGGGGCCCTTTGGCTTAATTTTTTTTCGTATATGAATTAGTTTGGGCATTAATTTCTTCTATTTATAGTAGAGACGGGGTCTCACTCTTGCTCAGGGCTGGGTATCGAACTTTCCCCTGGACCTCGAGCACTCCGCCCTCCTTGACCTCCCAGAGTGCTAGGATTTACAGGGTGTGAGGCCACCGTGCTCAGCCTTACTCCAGTTTTTAAGCCAAGTCGTCCAGCATCTCGGAGATGACTCTTTTACTCTAGAAAACTGACACACAACCGGGGGGCAGGAGAAGAGGTCATCCTTGAAATTCCTACATAAGAGACAATGGAACTTGAACAAATTTAAGATATTAAGGATTCCATGTATATAAGCATTTAAAGTTCTAAAGCATTAATCACACACGGTAAAACCAGTCTAAAAAACCCCTGCTAGACTGCAAATCTACGTTAATTAGAAAGGAAACCAACTAAAGGGGATGTTAAATGTGCCAGGTACTTTACAGAAGTCTCATCATTTAATTCTAATAAACAGCATTAGTATTACCCTCCCCATTTTCACAAAGGGAGAAACTGAGGCCCAGGAGTAACACTTCTTTCCTAAGACCACACAGACACGAATGCAGTACAACAGTCAGGGTTCAACCAAATCGGAGACATTCCTCATCCATCTGCTTTTTCTTTCTCATAGCTGCCTCTGTAAACCCAGCAGCACCTAATAAAAGGAGATGCTAATGGCTAATGAAGTCCAAAGAGCATTCTAGCCAAGATGTGACAGCCAATGACTATTGTAAGTTGGGTTCCCCACAACAGAGTCTGAGATAAAGATGTGAATGTAAATGACTGTTTGGGAGGTGATCCTAGGGGAGTAGGGAAGAGAGGTAAGAAAGGGGAGGAAGCCGGTACAGGGTATGTCAGTGAGCAAATGACCACTGTGGGCCATCGGGGCTCAGGCAGCTGGGGGACTGCAAGAAACGCATGGCCCACCTGGAGGAGCAGGGAACTGGGGTGTTTATCTTCCCACTCCACAGCCACTGGTTGAGGGCTGTTCCAGGAAGAGATGAGGGAACTTTAACGTGTGGCATTTCTGACTGGGCATGCATTGGCCTAGCTGGCTTCAGCCGGCAGAGAAAGCCATCAGGCAAAGAGCTGCAGGTGCGTACAACTGGCAGCTTTAGGGCAAGGAAGGGCTTAAAAGTATGGGCTGGATACAGTCAGCATCTGCTACAAAGGCATAGATAATTTTGGAGAGATGTTTTAAGCTTATTTTAATAAAAGACATCTGGTAAGAAAATATGTAACTGCTAATTCAAAGAAGAGGTAGAAAAACAAACATTCTTTTGGCTAGTTTTAGGGGATAAAGTTCCATTTTGCTATCTCACTCTCACCTTGGAGGAATCCTGACTCCATTGTCCAATTGTGCAAGGTTATTGGCATATTTTGATACTGGCAATTCATTTTCCCATGTGTCTGGGTCCTGCTTTCTGTACGGAGATTTTGAGCTGAGAACCGCATCACAAGCAATTGTTACCTATGAGACAAACCCAGATGTAATATATAAAAGCAGTTTGAGAGACTAGCAACTTCTAGAAAGTGAATTTAAAAGCTTATTAATAAGTACGGCTTAACTGAAGACAATTCAAACCACACAGTTACCAGAAGAGCAAGGCCCTGCTTTCCTGCACTTTCCCCTGGATCTAGCTAGGCTTTGTCCCTGACCTAGAGTTTGTAGTATGGACAATGACACAGATAGCAAGGAACTAAATTCAGTTTGTAAGCTCAAGCTTAGGGGTCAGATTTAACAATTCTTACCACTTAGCAAGCCTGGCAAAAAGTATGAGATGAATAATTCCCAAGGGCGAAATTAGAGACAGGAATGCCCAGGATTTACCCAAGTGGTGTGTTTTCCTCCTAACAAATGTGCACCCAGATATCCAATATCCTCAACTCATCACATAATGGCATGTGGTCAAGGGCACTTGAATGGAATGTAAGCAGCATGGCTCCATTTCTTAATCTAGTGCAAATGTGACCCTGGATAGGGACATACCTTGGTGTCTCCATGCCAGATTCGTCCCCATCATGAGCAAATCTGTGACGTCCTGCTTGGCACCAACTGACCACAGGGGACCTCTTCTTTCTCCCAAACCCCATTGATTCTGGCCTAGGCCTGTTACCAAAGTTGCTATTTGCTTCATGCTATAAGCTATTTCTAGTTGTTTTTAAAAACTTGCATTCTGATGGCACAGTAAAATGGGACAGCCACACCGGAAAACTGTTTGGCAGTTACCATATGACCTGGCAATTCCACTACTAGGTACATACCCAAGAGAAATGAAAATACGTGTCCACACAAAAACCTGTACACAAATGTTCATAGCAGCATTACTTATAATAATCAAAACACGGAAACAACTCAAAAGGTTGTCAATATCAAACAATGTAAAATAAAATGTTGTATGTTCATACAATGAAATGTTATTTGGCGATAAAAAGGAATGAAATGCTGACCCCTGTGACAACATGGATAAACCTTGACAATATACACTAAGTGAAAAAAAGCCAGTCACAAAGAATAACATATTGTATGATTCCATATACGTGAAATGTCCAGAATAGGCAAATCTATAAGGACAGAAAGTAGATCAGTGATTGCCAGAGGCTGAGTGGATGTAGGGTTGGAGGGTGATGGCTAAGGGGTGTGAGTTTTTTTTGTGGGTCAAGAGAAATATTTGAAAATTAGACAGTGATGATAGATACCCAACTCTGAATATAATAAAAGCCATTGAATTATTAAAAAATGTTTAAACAGAGCTGGGCACAGTAGCACATGCCTATAGTCTCAGCTACTCAGGAGGATCATTTAAGGCCAAGAGTTCGAAGCTGCAGTGCACTGTGACCACACCTGCAAATAGCAACTGCACTCCAGCCTGGACAACATAGCAAGACCCTATTTCTAAAAAAAAAACCCACAATTTTTTTTTAAAAATTATATTCTACATCACCTACATCCTGCACAATGAGCTGACCCTTACCCCCTAATCTCACTGACTACTGACCCTAGAACCAAGTAAGAAACAACAGAGGAAGTTCCTTCAGCCGCCATCCTACCCCACCCAGCCCATTCCTGTGAGCCCTGGGACCAAAATGCATTTTGAATCTACCTCTTGTCCATTTTACCCATCCTCCTAGTCCCAGCCACTGTCAGGGCTCCCCTGAGGGCTACACAACAGCCTCCATACAGCTGTCTTTCCTCCACCCCTGCCCCTCGTCTCTGCACCGCAGCCAGGGTGCTCCATCCTAACCTTCCCTAGCCTAAAACTCTCAAGGTTACACTGAACACTAACCAACTGATGACACTGGGCTACACACAGGAATAAGGAAGAGGTCCCTGCCTTCAAAAAGCTTATAATCCATTAAGATCAGTCTTTCATATTAATACATTTAAACCTTTCCAAAGAAATCCTCCCATTCATCCCTCACCACAAACCCTGTTGTATAATTAGCCTTTCCTTTCAATCGGCAAACTTCATCACCCACCACTTTCCAGGGATGCCCATGGGAAACAGGCATCAGAGGTCACTATAAGTCCCTTGTAGATTTTATGGGTTTGGGACATGCCACTTTAGCACTTCTGCCTACAGCATCCTAATCTCTCTAGTCTGGCCTGTTATAACCTCTTTGTTTGTTTCACCATCTACGCCAGGGGTCCTCAAACTTTTTAAACAGGGGGCCAGTTCACTGTCCCTCAGACCGTTGGAGGGCTGTTGGAGAGTGCGGCGCACATTCCACACATGCGCACTGTGGGCCCGGGATGAGTGGGCTACTAAGCGGGACAGGCAGCGGCAGCAAAAACACCCGGTGGGCCGGATAAATGTCCTCGGTGGGCCACATGTGGCCTGCAGGCCATAGTTTGAGAGCCCCCTGATCTACACGATCATTTCTTTAACCTCCTCAGGATTTTCTCCACCCTCATTAGATTTATTTTAAGTGTTCTGGTTTGCAATGCACAATGATTTTGAACAAGATTCAGATATAATCTCCTCTCTTTTCTTTGAAAAACCTTTCCTGGTGACACCCAATATCAACTAAAATCACTAAAAGGCCCTTTTTATGGGTCATAGCCAAAGGTCAGGATCCATCATACAAGGATTACATCATCCAGTGTAATCCTAATTACATTGTGAATTATTTTTCCTTGGATTTGTTATCTGGAGTGAAGTTAAAAGACCTTGGTACTTGTCCTGGCTTCATCCAAGTCTCCGTGGGCCTGGAGTTCAGTGGTACACTATAACTGGTTTGAACTGGCTCATAAGAGTTCATCACTGAATTTTAAGAAATTTTGCAAGATGGTTGCTAAACACAGTCATTACTAAAAATCAAATTTGTGTAAACTTACAATTAAATGTTTTTTAAAAGGCAACACATATTCAAAAACTCTTCACGTCCTAATTGTTTTACTATATCTCACTATTATCTCTATGCTCTTGAGATTACTTATGCCTATGCTAGCTGAATGGTGCAGATTCTATAATGATCTGCACATCTCTTTCCAACAATGCATTTAGTGATGTCATGTTGTTAGCCTGAAATCAGTCATGCTGGAAGTATTCACGCCATGGAATCAGCAGATACTACAAAACAGGGCTTTTTCCCCCAGGGAGCCTGTTGTTAAACATTTACAAGCACACCACTGCTCTAGTTCTGATATCAAAAATTAAGGCCTTGGAATTCAGCTTCTATGGTCCCTGCTGGGCTCACAGTGCTATGTCCCTGTGACCCCTGCATCCTTAGTCACTCAGATGTGGCTTAACTCTCTGGAGAATCCATAGAGTAACTCTTCAAAATGGAAATTGTTCTATGCTGAGATGTTCCAGAGATGAAAGAGGAGTCATTTTTGAGCTCAGTAATTTTTGTTATTTAAAAAGAGAATCATCAAACACCAAGAGTGTAGCAAAGGCATGAAAAGAAATATAGTAACTAGCATCTTTTATGCAGATAAATCCTATTGGTTACCATCAGATAAATACAGGCTTTTCCTTCAATCTTCCCACACCCATCTTCCAAATAACTCTGTCTCTCTCTTTTTTCATTCTTAAAGTATTTCTTAATTCTAAAAGATTTTGTTATTAAAAATTATAATATATCTTGCTGGATTCAGATTACCATGGCACTTCCCTTTTAAATAAGAGTATTCACACTTTAAATTATACTCTCAATACAAAAATAATAAAAGGCTTTTTTATTAACTTTTCTCACATAAAAACTTCTTCATGAGGGAATGAGAGGGAAATAATTTCTCATAACATTATTCACAATATTCTTTCTTCCTTCTTTTCTGACAGCAGAAATAACAGTTATATTAAACAAGCGCAGTAAGAACTCTCAGTATTATAGAGATATAAGCAGTAGTATATAATTTCAGGTAATGGGATGAGGTAAGGCCATTCCGTCCACTAATATATTTTATCCTTGGTAACGGCCACATGAGTCAACACAGGGAATTGGAGACAGCAAAGGTAATTTAATTCGGCATGCCTTACTGAGCACTGTGCACTTAGGCCTGAAAAGGATGTGTTACACTTAATAATTAGAATTATAATAAATAAGTACACAAAATTCTCATTTCTATGGTCTTGTATTTAGATATAAAGTAGATCAGAAACAAAAGAGGTTCAATGGTGGGAACCCAGTCACTAATGGCATGGAAACCCCAAGCACAAATGTCCCCTCCTGGCAGGGGCAAGTGAGCAGATGGCTGCAAATACAGAGTCACGCAATGCCCAGGCGACTCTGGGACCCACAGACCTTGCTGTGGTTCTGGCAGAGTTTGAGAAAGGAAAAAATGAGCTGGCATGTCTAAACTCAACCAACCCTGACCCTGCTGCCATCTGTGGCCAGCCTCTAGGTGTGCACAGAGTGGGAAAGGGGAAAAGAAAAGGAAGAGAGAAAAGGAGAAAGCACAGAGCGGTGGCAGCAACACAGGAAATGAGGAAAGTAGGAAAAACAGTTACTGTCCCGCAGGAACTCTGTGCCCATTTACAGCACGTGAGAGTCGAAGGAAAACAAAACCTAGCTTCCCCACAGCACAGCACCACCGCCAGCCCCAGTTTCCAGCCATTCAGAAAATTAAAGTCCCTCCACAAACTGAATCAGAAAAAAAGGAAAAGGAAGAAAGGAGGGGGGGGGGAAGCTCACCACTAAAAATATCTAAAACCTAGAAAGTGGTCTTAGTCTTTGTGCAGAGCACAACTTTAAAGAAGGTTCACTTAATCCCGGAGCTCTTGCAGATCTGTGATGTATAAATGTTTGGTTCTTCTTATAACTGTGTTGCTGTTGTTTTAGCTGTGAGGCCCTTTAATTTCTTCCAAACAAAATCTTACATGGAAAGCCGGCACACTAAACATGATAAAAATACTGTCATTCCTCTGCAGAAGACAGTCCCTCTCCAGCACTCCCTGCGTGGCCAGGGTGCCCAGGGTGAAAATCTAAGCAACAGACTGCGATTCAGGGGGCAAGAAGCCAGCCCACCCTGAAGGAGACCAGCCTAATGAGCTACAGAGGCCAAACAGCACCGGAAGGAAGAGGCAGCAAAGGGTACCTATGGCCCAACCCTCTTGAAATGTAACCCTGCAAGACCCTTGTCACAGAAGAGAAGGGGTATGCTCATGTTCATGCTCACTCGTACGCTCTTCTCACATTCAACCCTCCTTCCCCGCCCCCTACACACCACACCACACACACACACACACACACGCCCCGCACACGCACACACACCTGACACAGAGAGTCACGCGCATCTAGCTAGCAGCCGTGCACACTCACTGACCAGGGCTGGTAACTCCTCAATATTTGGTAGTGCTATTTCATAGTGGTCTGGGAATATAACAAGTTTGGCTTCGTCTTCATATTCATAATCGTCGCTATTTAAATCGTCATCAGTATCTAGATCTGAGGAGAAAACAAAAACAAAGAACAAGAAGTGAGGTGAGTAACATCCCACACTAAGGCAGCACTCACTGGGAGAGCCAGAAATCCACGGGGAAGACAACCCCCGGGCGCGACATTCACAACTTCCTCCTCTGACAGGACCATCCATCTGCCCCAAACCAGGAATTACAGGCCTTCCCATCTTTCCTAAATTAGGAATACTTATTTATCAGCAACTAATGTATGAAGAAGCCTGTGTCATATCATCAAGCTTTGCAGTTAAAATAGATATATGTTCTAGATACTCAATTCTTAGAGATTTTTAAAGAAAGAGACTGGTAATTGTGATTTGTCAGGTACCTGGCTCCTGATTTCACAAGAATGGGCCGGAATGTTTTTCACAACACTGTCATATGGAAGAAAGCCCATGGGTTTGACAGCAGATAAACCTCAGTTCAATTCTGGCTCTAAAATCTAATGTTCCTTTGGGCAAGTCACAAACTCTCTCAGCCTTAGTTCTGCCATTTGTAGCATGAAGATTATAGCACTTCTCTCATTTATATAGCAGATAAAGCGAGAACTTGTAGACAAGAGACCTGGCATATAAGAGGTGGTCAATAAATGGTAGCTATTATTTAAAAATAAAACCTCCCTCTTGCTTTCTCTACATATCTGCATCTTTCTGTCTCTCTAAGTGTTGTTAGATTCTACACAGTAAACCAGAGAAGGAAGCCCTGTACAGTGAGTAGTCCTGCTGTCCTTCAGAGGCCAAGAATACTCAACAAGAAACATGAGTTCCTCCAGCCTGTTACATATCAAGTCATCGCCTCTTTGCTTGGCTGAGCTCCGGTAAAGGTTAGGTAAAGGTGCAAGGAAACGTCTTGTCACAATATTTACATGGACATTTCAGCCTCACATTCATGCGGATGCCAGCATCACAAATCACATTTATATATTTGTATGTTTGGAACTATGGTGACAAGGAGTTATTGAGCTATATTCTACTCCCATATGCAAACATACACACAAATACATACAGAAATATGGGCTCTGGAGATAAAAGAAAATTATTTTACTAGATGAAGCAGCCACCTGAGAACCAAAGGATCTAGTTTCCATTACCACCTTATGTATGCCTTCAACCAGAAACCTAGTACATACGTGTGGATAGCTCTACTCTTGAATTCTCAAAGGTAAGGCAGTTTTAAGTAAAAAATGAGATACAGTTAAAATGCAGTCCAAATATTTTAATAAAAGATTCTAATAAGAGACTGATTCTAATCAGAAATACCAAAATAAAAAAACAAACAACGTTGTTAACCATAGAACTTAATTTGACAAAAAGTAATTTTAAAGATGATTCTACAAGTTTAAGAAGTAACTAAAGGCATTTATTTAAAGGAAATAATTCAAAGAAAGACATTCTACAGAATGCCTCAATATCTATCATTTTTTAAAAATTGGAACCTAAATGTTCAATGAGAATGGTGTTCAACTCAGAATATTATTTAAATGTTATTTAGACTATGCATAAACATGAAAATGTTAATGTTAAAAGTAAAAAATTCATCATTGTAAAGACAACTTTATATTATGCTCATGAACAAAAATTGGAAAGAAACCTGAACAAATGAAAATAATGAGTTGGGTGAACTTTTCTCTCTATTCCTAAAAGTTTCTTTATTATTATTGTATATATAACAAATTTAAGTAACCAAAGTACAAATCTTTTGGGGTTTTTTGTATAGATTTGGCTCACACAAGATATTATCTATCTCCTTTCTACAGAAAACATATTCATTTGATGCCAATTCAAATCCTACTTGGCATAAAAAAAACAAAGTCTCTTTCAACATTTACTAGCTATGTAACCTGGGGAAAATTCTTTCCAAGTTTATTCTCCTCATGAGTGAGCCATCCATGGATAGTATTATCTACCCTATAAGCCTATTAAGAGGATTAAACAAGATGAGGTTTTAAGGCACCTAGTATAGGATCTGGTAGGTACTGAGGACTCCACAAACAAAAGCCACTGTCACCAGCATCATCATCATCTTCTCTATGTTCCTGACAACTAATATTATTACAATCAAAAGTGCTTTCCCTCACTCCTGTAATCCTAGCACTCTGGGAGGCCGAGGCGGGCGGATTGCTCGAGGTCAGGAGTTCGAAACCAGCCTGAGCAAGAGCAAGACTCCATCTCTACTATAAATAGAAAGAAATTAATTGGCCAACTAATATATATATATATATAAATTAGCCGGGCATGGTGGCGCATGCCTGTAGTCCCAGCTACTCGGGAGACTGAGGCAGGAGGATTGCTTGAGCCCAGGAGTTTGAGGTTGCTGTGAGCTGATGCCACGGCACTCACTCTAGCCTGGGCAACAAACAGTCCTGAAGTAAATTTCAGGAAGACCACGGTATTATATACAGATCTCAGTGTGGGGAAGTGATGACCTTCAAACGCTAGAAGATTGCAAGACTGTCAGCTCAAAGAGTGGGAAACAGGTCTCACTCACCTCCCATATTCCTATCCCTGCACAGTGCCCTGCCCACACCACACACTCAGTAAAAGTGTGAAAGGGGACTTCAGGAAGTCAACAACGCCAACATGCTAAGGACAACAGCAAAGGAAGAACGTCAAAAGAGTTGCTGTGCTGTTGTTTTTAATTAGCAACTGGTATGTGTTTAAAAACAAGAATGCTGTCATGTATTTTAATAGCTGTACTTTGTTGTGCTTCTTCACACTTAGTTTATAGCTTACTTTCATTTTTATTTTCATTTTTAACTTAATGGAATGGAAGGGGTTCCTGATCTTCCCAAAACATCTTAATCCAAATTAGGGAAAAGTCCAGCAGAGGTAACATACATTCTGATCTTAAGGGACAAATCCAAGCTTTCTCCTGAACGTATATGACCCTACAGTTCTAAGTATAATCTCAATTAATTTCCACATGTCTTTAAGTCATGTCTCACCACTCTGAAAATATCCAGTCGAGAAACCCGCAGAGTAACCATACCCTAGGACCAGTGGGACTGAGACCCCCAACTTCCCAGCTGGTACTTTCCGCTGTTGCTCAACTGGCAATACTCAGATGAGCTCTCTCTAAGGTAAAAAACAAAAACTTATTCCCCAACTCTCCCTCGGTGATCCTCCCAGATCCCTGGGAGAAGTGGCTGGGATGACACCCATTTCCCCTAAACAAAACCAGGGCTCTGAGTCCCAGGTCTGCGTTCTCTCAGCCTGACCATATTGACTTTAATTTATTTGTTGGAGGCAAACAATCTGTGTGTCCCAAGGCTGCAAACTCTGACCAACCACTTCAAAAGAAGGTACAGGAGAAAGCCTCTGAGCACAGACCGTGTTATTTGGCCGCTTCAGAAGGAAATAGCACTATGGACTTTACTGAAACTTCTGGTCACAGAGGCGCAGATGAGTTTTCTGAACAGTCTCATTCCTGAAACTTTTCACACGTTTTCTGTTTTCAACCTGTTTCTCGTGGAGTATGAATGCCTGGGCTAAGCCAAAAGAGTGGAATTTAAGCTCTCCCAGGTAAGCAGTAGCTCTTTGGCATTCCACTCTTCAGATACAAAGGAACTTAATTCACTTACTTCTATTTGTGGAAATTAGGAGTGGGGGAAGGGCCTCAGTAAATATGTGAAAATTTAACACTGTTTTTATGATATACCAAAGTTATGGTATATTTCTTAAATTAAATGCATTAGCAGTTATTTACACATCTGTACACATTTGTATCTTTATTGTAAAAATATATATATATATAGGTACAATTAGGCCAGAATCACTTTGTAAGCCCTAGGGTATTTCTTTCAAGATCATGGACTCCCTTATCTCCCTCCTTCCCTCCTTGTATCTCAAATAAATCTGTTTTATATCAGCTTATTCCCCAAATTCACAAACTTGCATGTTTTTGCCAGTTATCTTTCTAAAAGTCAACCAATAGTGTCTCTTTCCAGCTTAAAAATGTTAACGCAGTGTTACCCAAACTTGCTCAGGTCGCAGCACCCCTCAGCCTCCCACCAAGTTTCTCACAGCAGCCCTAAGCCAAAGGAAATGCGCAGTCGTTCTGTTCAGTGGTTAGGTCCAAACTACTTGGTAAGTATTTATGGTCTAACAATTTAGTAGCCATTTGAAAAAAAAATAACACTCATCAGTTGAAACAAAAAATGTTTTATTTCATTCTGAAATAGACAGTTCCTTACTAATGGGATGTGTGCACCTGTTGGGCACCACAGAACTTCCCTTTCAATCAGATCAGCCACTGCCATGTTCCTGTTCCATGTTGATTTCACCTGGTACTTGCCTTTTACCAAAGAAACCACCAAACAACCAGCTTCATTAGGAATATAGGATAACACGATATTAAAACTACATCAAGCTTAATTCATGCAATGTTCAAACACCATTATGTTCCCTCAAGGATTTAAAATTACCCTCCGTTCACTGGTGAGTTCACTGCAGCACCCCAGGCTGCCTCCAAGCACAGTTTGGGAAACAAATGGTTAATGGCTTCCCAGTACCCACAAGAAACAAAAAAAACCTAAAAGCATGGTAAATGTATGGACTATCACTGGAGACATACAAGATCAAATGCAGAAAATACTATTTGTCTCTGGGGAGAGTAACCAAATGGCTGAGAGACAGGGAAGGGAGAGAGAAAAGCTTACTTTTTACTGCCAAACTCTTTACTTTTCAAATTTAAGCTCTGTTCATGTGGTACACATTCAAAGAATGTATTTTAAATCTGAAATACAAAAAAAGTATAGAATTTAAATGACTTAAAAATTACCAGTAATTTTACTTTTTGGTTAAAAAAAATTGCAGCAAAAGCTAGAGCTGAGGTCATTTCACTTAAATGCACATCAGAGTGATTGGGAAGAAGAATGACTTGACCATTGAGGGGCAGGTGGTGCTCAGGAGTCTTGGGCAAGCCATTCAGCGCCAGCTAATGACCTCGGCTTCCCTTACAAATCAATACTGAAGGTTACAGCCAAATGATTCAATGGTTTCAATGTCATGTTAAGCCAATGAAAAAGGAATTATTCACAAAGTCTTCAAGTGAATGGGGAAAAAAGTCTCCTTCAAGATAAAGCATTGGCCATCTACATCAGTTTCATAACAGGAGGTGGGAGGAGGGTCATAACAACATTTCAGTACCAGCCAATAGTACTTTCCAGCCAAAGAAACAGAAAAACTGCAAGAGAGTTCAGAGTTCTCTTCCTCTCCATGGAGAGACAACTCCAATATCCCTTTTAGGGAAGGAGTCTGTGGCAGAGGCTACAGAGGCTATCCATTGTTCCCTTCTTCCTTAGTAAGAGGCCTCCAACTGTGCTCAGTGAAGCCAGTCAGGAGACTGTATTTTCCAATCTCCTGTGCAGGGAGGTGCAGCCCACATGACCAAGTTCTGACCGAGTGGCATAAACTGATTGGGAATCTACGAGAAGGCTGAAAAAGGAAGGCGACTCTGCTGGGAGATTTGACTATTTTGTCTTTCCCCTTCCTCTTTCCTGCTTTCCAGAATGTGGATGTGATAGCTGGAGTTCCAACAGCCTTTTGGGACCATGAGGTGACCCTGAGGTTGGAAGTCACAGGCCAGGATAGAGGGTGAAGCAGAAATATGGAAAGAGTCTCAATTCCTGATGAACATGAGGCCATCATGTCATCCTGCACTTACTGCTTCCCAACATCCTCTACATGAAAGAGAAATAAGAGTCTATCTTGTTTAAAGTTGCCAATATCTTAAGTTTTCTGTTACATACACCAGATGTAATCCTAATACTGCCCCTCACTGAAATTAATTGGCTGGCAATATCAACTTGAATACAGAGCTGGGATCTATGTGACAAGAGAACAGTGCCAACTCCTGGGAGATAAGAAGCTCCAGCTGAGGGGACTTTAAATCAGGGCTTGTACAACCAAATGTTTACAGAAATGAATGAACTAATTTAAATTTGTAAAGTACACCTGGATATAAAACAATAGGGAGAAACAGGGCCTGGGGCAAGCCCCAGGGTGCTAATGGCAGTCAGCTTTAAATTTTTAAAAAACTAGTACAGTCCAAATAGAACACTTTCCTTGGGCTGTGAGTTTTATACAAATCCCATGATTTTCTAAGATATGAAACATTGAGGGGACACAGAGACCAGTCTGTAGAAAAACTCCTGCTAAAACGAAATGCTGGGTAGTACCCCCAAGGGTACAATGGAAGGGGTTCACATGACAGGAAGCACAAAACTTCAGTACTGACTTGTGAATTAATTTTTAAAAGTTCCTTGATGACATCTTCTATCACCAAAACAATCACCAGAAAAATCAAACCTCAAGGCCTTTTGAGAAAAATACACAAAGGCTAAAAGGCCAAGAGGTCAGCTAATGTCTTCATTCAACCAAAGAAAATAATTATAATAAAAAATAACAATGGGTAAGTCAAGCTGTTCAGTTATTTCCATCCTCAAGAAGGTCATACAGATGTCATTCAATTCGGAAGCAATCGGATTACCCATATTAGTGGAAGTGAGCCAGCAGGCTAGTAACCAAAGTATCAGAACATAGTCCCTCATTCAGCTTTGAGGTTCATGCTAGGCTTCTTTGTGTTTGGTTGGTTGGTTTGGTCCAAAGGCATGTTGAGAAGTTGGGAAGATTGGTCAGGGTAGAAAACTCAACTGTAGGTTAGCCTCATACAGAAAACCATAAGCTGAGAAGCAGGAGAAAACAGCAAGATCAGACCCAGCACAGAGTAACCAAGGATCAAATCAGGAAGGAAACTCAGCTCCTTGACTGTTTTCAATGGTTTTACTTTTCAAATAATTAATGTGTCTTTTCATTACAACAACATACATTTGTTAAATAAAAAGTTTAAATACAGATGAGCAAAAAAAAAGAAAATCAGAATCACTTCCATCCTATTACCGGGAAAGAGCCACTTTTAACAATTTAGAGTATATTCTTCCAGGCTCTTCCAGTCTCCCAGTTATATGTGAATATATGTGTATGTATACAAGTATATGTACACACATAGATATATACATATATACATGCATGTATATATAGACATGCATGCATATACATAAATACATACATACACATATGTCTATGTGTATGTAGATTTTTTTTAACCAAAATAAAATCATACTATGGAAATAATTTTGAAATTCCTTTCAAACATAATCCCAGACATTTAGGAATATAAACTTTCTTGGTCAAATATTATCAAACCACTTTTTCCCCCTGAGAAAACCATACCAGAAGCTCAAAAGGAAATATGACTATAATTATGCAAGATAGAAATCAGCAATCATTTGCATAAACAAAACTAGTTCTTTTGAATGAGGGAAATTTAAAAATCACCATGAGGCAAACACCACAGTAATAATGGCTGCAGGCAATATCCACTGATGGATGCTAAAATTAGTAGGCAAAACTTTGAGGAGAAACAGGATATTAGCACAGTGTCAAAGTTATCACTCACAAGATATTTATTATTAATGATTACACTATAAGTTTCCAGTGGAGAAGCCCACAGATGACTTTAACACGCAGTAAAGTTCAACACCACCAGCATGAAGACATGTCAACAGCATGGATCCCCAGGATCACGTACTGAGAAGGGCACATTACCTCTGCGCTATTCTTGCCAAAATGCATAACTTCAAACTTCTCATGAGAAAACATCACACACACCCAAACTGAGGTACATTCTACAAAATAACTGACCAGTACTCTTCAAAAGTGTCACAATCATTAAAGGTGAAGAAAGACTGAAGGATTATCACAGATTGGAAAGGATTAAAGAAACGGGACAACTAAATACAATGTGGGATCCTGGATTGGATCCTGTAACAAAAACAAGGACATTAGTGGAAAAAATAGTGAAATCTGAATAAGTCTGTAGTCTGGATAATTTTTTTAAAAAGAAAAAATGACTCTTTAAAGTCAGCGAAAAACAGACGGGAGGCAGAATCACAATTACTCTCTTGTCACTCTAAGTATAATTGCCTCAAAGCACTAAACCCAACTAAGAGTGTTAAAAGCATCCTTCAATAATAGTTAAATGAGAAATAGAGTCAGAGCCTCTCAAGTTAAATTTGTGCTTCTAATCCCTAAATTGTAGAGCAATAAACAACCTATTGATCCAAATCAATCTTGCATATGAGCAAGCAAACACACACACACACACACACACACACACACAGAAAATCTGGGCACACTATTAATAACTATTTACATTACCTAAAAAAATCTTGGAATTCCTCCTTTTTGGTAAAGCTCCACCAGATGCTCCTCTTACCTTCTGAAAAGAAAATAAGAAATCATGAAAATGCAGCCTATAGAATAAACAATTTTGAGGGGGAAAAGTACAACTCAGAGGTTCCCAGTTTTTATAAAAGGCCAAGAGGAAATATTCAACCTGGACTATCAATTCCAGAATAAACATGAACCTGACCCAGGTCGATGCAGGTAGGTGAAGAGCAATGCTATTGTCCCACCTGATTGTTTTTACCAAGTTATAAGGAAAGCACTTCTGGAAAGGGAAGTAGAAACCAGGGATCAAGGTGAAGTAGATGCCTAAACTTCAAATCAGCACATGCTCCCAAGAGGGTTAGAGTCCAGGCCTGACAATGAGAGACTCAGGAAAGATGGTGGTGGCTCCAGGAGGTCAGGATCTTCCTCTTCTGCTTACCTAGTGGGTCCACAGTACTTGGTCTTTTTAACTATTGTAGAAAGATTTAATAAATATAGACACATAGTCATGGATATTCGGGTCATATTAAACCTCAATCTAACCTCCCTACACATTTTTGGAGCACCAACAGGTGGTTATGTTGCCATCCTAAGCTACATGTACTTTCTACATGTGCTAGAATCCCAGGCAGCAATGAAATAAACACCTGTCAAGCAGTTATACAAAAGAATTCATTCATCTAGGCCGGGCGCGGTGGCTCACGCCTGTAATCCTAGCTCTCTGGGAGGCCGAGGCGGGCGGATTGCTCGAGGTCGGGAGTTCAAAACCAGCCTGAGCAAGAGCGAGACCCCGTCTCTACTATAAATAGAAAGAAACTAATTGGCCAACTAATATATATAGAAAAAATTAGCCGGGCATGGTGGCGCATGCCTGTAGTCCCAGCTACTTGGGAGGCTGAGACAGAAGGATCGCTTGAGCCCAGGAGTCTGAGGTTGCTGTGAGCTAGGCTGATGCCACGGCACTCACTCTAGCCTAGGCAACAAAGTGAGACTCTGTCTCAAAAAAAAAAAAAAAAGAATTCATTCATCTGATCCTCATACGAAACATTTTACTCTCAGATTATAATAATTTTTGTTTCAAATGGCCAAAACCATATTTTCATACTGTATGTTTTTTTCAGTTACTGGAAAAAAGCACGTTTCCAACAGACCACAGTGTACGAGTCTAATCCTGTGCTTTTCCACACAAACGCATGTGTCAAGGCTTTGCTGCGCCTTGGCTGCTGCTTTAGTTTGTCCTCTCATCAGTCCTAAGACTCCTTTGCCACATTGTATTATTTGACTCTGAAGGCTGACTCATCTTTGTGATTCTCACATGAAGTTTTTACAGCTTTACAGTAGGTTTACAGTTCACATCTCAGGAATCTGGAAATTATAAAACACTTCAGCTCAAAAACTTATCCCTCCAAATACTGATGTCAAATGCATGGCTCCTCTCCCAAAATCCGTCTCTTCATGGTATTAGAGCCTCTGTTCTTTCCCTTCCACTTACCTACCTCAAAAAGGGATAAAATAAAACCTGTTCCAAAGGCACAATGAACAATCTTGGAGATCACTTGAAATCTCTCTACAGAAGTTTATGATGTCCTTTCAGTTTTTCCAATCTCTCTGCCCCCTTCCTCCCTGCAGAATAGTGGAGGGAGAACAGAGGGAGGGGCTGTAGGAAGACTTGCTAGAACATAAGGCTGTCCCCAATTGCCGGCTTCACACCTAAGACTTGCACTAGATCCACCTCCTTTCAGATTAAAAAAAAAAAAAAAAAGTAGAACTTCCTTCTAAAGACCATCACCTCTGCTCCTACATCAGTCAACAACAGAAACCAACAGGGTTTAAAAAACTAAAACTTCTTGGTCAGCAAATATAACCATGGTGGTACATCAGGTTCTGGCCTGGAGCTCAGGGTGCAAACTGAATGAAGGCACATTCCACCTTTAGAGGAGCTCACCAGCACAGGAGGGGAATGTACTCATAAACAAACAGCACAACACATTCTAGTGAGTGCTAAGAAAGATTCAAGAAAAGGTAAAATCATATTATAAGAAAGAAATGATCAGTTCATCTGGGGGTGAATGAGAGAGTGGGCGCAGGGCTGGTCAGGTAAGAAGAGCAGCTGTCCTAGCATATAGCAGCTACTTGGAAAATGTATGTTGGATGAATGGGTAGGTGAGTGGACAGAAGAGTGGGTGGATGGATGGGAGGATGGATGGATGGCTGGATGATAGGTGGATGCGTAGTGAGTGGATAGATGAGTGAATGGATGAATGGATGGGTTGGTAGATAGGTAGGTGAGTGGATAGATGGGTGGGCAGATGGATGCAGGGATGGATGAATGAATGGATATCCTGACCACAGGGAGTACAAAAGGTAAAAAAGAAGTGAGAGTAGAAGTAAGGTATCTCTGGAGGGATATTAATTTGGAAGTCATCAGCTTACAGAGAGTGGTTAAACAAGGACAACACTGATGAGAAAGAGCATCTTCCTGAGGAAGAAGACAGGATGGGCAAATGGCCTAGGAAATGCTAGTAAGTAAGGAATAAACAAAGGAAGAGATGTTAGTTAAAGAAATTGAGAAAGGGCAGGAGGAAAGCCAAGAAAGAATGGTGCCAAAGAAAGCAGGGGAGTTACAGCTCTAAAGGAAAAGAAGCTCCAATATTTAAATACTCAAAAAGTCAAGAAACAGCGAGGCCAAAACACATCCACCAAGTGTGGCAACTAAGAAGTCACTGATGACCTGGGCATTTTTAGTGGATTAACAAGATCAACCCAACAGTAAGGTTTTGCCTTAACAGGGAGATGCAGTAGAGACACTGAGAATAGAAAAGTTTTTAAGGAAGCTTTAATGGAAGGATGCAATGACTAAAGGAGGACACAAAGTAGAGGGATAGTTTTGTGGTGTGTTCTTTTTGAAGGTGGACAGTCCTGCTGTCGACTTTGTGACCCTGAGCAGTTAATTCAGTTTCTTTTTTTTTTTTTTTGAGTTTCTTACTTTACACTAAGACATATGGAATGAAGCACACTTCATAAGAATTATTACGTACTACCTGCAGGAGTAGTAAGTGTAAACGATATAATACTGGGCCAAAATTACATTATTTTAAAGCTAAGCCTTAGGGCAGGAGTGGTGGCTCACACCTGTAATCCTAGCACTCTGGGAGGCCGAGGCGGGCAGATCACTCAAGGTCAGGAATTCGAAACCAGCCTGAGCAAGAGCGAGACTCCGTCTCTACTATAAATAGAAAGAAATTAATTGGTCAACTAACATATATATACAAAAAATTAGCCAGGCATGGTGGCACATGCCTGAAGTCCCAGCTACTCGGGAGGCTAAGGCAGTAGGATTGCTTGAGCCCAGGAGTTTGAGGTTGCTGTGAGCTAGGGTGACACCACCGCACTCACTCTAGCCTGGGCAACAAAGTGAGACTCTGTCTGGGGAGGGGGGGAGAGCTAAGCCTTGAATTTATGGCTTATCTGACCTGCTGGCCTTTCTTTCTCCTTTTTCTCCTACTTTCCCCACTGTTCAATTTTGGGATCTCTCCTTTGTTAGGAACTTAAACAGAAAACATATTAGGTAGGCTAGGATGAGGGATTAGATGAAATTCAAATCAGTACTGACAACTGAGAAGATTCAAGATAGTCCACAACTATTGGGACTAAAGTAAAAGTCAAACAGCATTACTAAATACAAAATCAGCATTTGAAAATTCATAACATCTCAGATACTGTGAATAACCAATTAAATACATAAAAACTAAAAGATAGCAGTAACATCAGTAACAAAAATTATGGGGAATACAGGGTGCTGGAAAAAATCTAGCAAAATATAAGTTCTCTTACAGAAAAGTACAAAATATTGTTGAATGACATTAAAAAGGCCTGAATAAAGAGGTACACCATGTTAAATAGTCATTCAATAAATATTTATGAAGCACCTACTATTAATGTATATGCCCATCACTGTTAAGTGCTAAGGGCACAGCAGTGAACAAAATAGACTTCAGATTTTTACCTGAGCATCTACAAGGTTGAGGCTGCATTAACTGAGATGGGGAAGACCACAGAAGAAGGTGGTTTGAAACAAGTCCTAGAATTTAAAATAAATCCTAGTCCAGGTCCATAGATAAGGGATGTATAAGATGAGTGCACAGTGAATCCAATCATGGTTTAGCTTTTTTTCACCAAAGACAATAAGTACTTTTGGGAAAAAATTGGAAAAAAAAAAAAAAAAGGACAAAAGTCCCTGCCCTCAGGGAGCTTACAACAATGATGTGGATTATAGATTAATCTATAAATTTAATGTGATTGTGATCAAAATCTCAACAAGATTTTTTTAACTAAATAAATTGATTCCAAAATCCATAGAGAAAAGTAAACATCCAAAAATACCCAGGAAAGTTCTGGGAAAAAAATGAACATGGAAGAAGTGCTTGCACTACCAAATAGCAAGGCTTGCCATACCTAAGCAGAGACAGACACGTAAGATCAACAGAACACAACTGAGAAACCCAAAAAAGACCCAAATGTGAATGTCAAGTTAATATATAAAAGGGTGGCACCAGAAATAATTGGAAAAGGTTGTATTATTCTATCAATATTGGAACAACTGGTTGTCAATATAAAAATAATATATTCCTACTCTTCAAACAAACACAAAAATAAATTACAGATAGATTAAAAACCTGAAATGTTAAAACATTAAAACATACCCGCATACACATATACACACTAACTTAATTTAAAAAAAAAAGAACTAGAAGAAATATCTTTATGACCTTGAGTTGAGAAACAATTTCTTAGACAAGAAACAAATGGCACAACTCATGAGAGAAAAAGTTTAGTAAATCTAACTACATCAAAATTTAAAACTTCTAGGTGGCGCATGCCTGTAATCCCAGCTACTCGGGAGGCTGAGGCAGGAGGATCACTTGAGCCCAGGAGTTTGAGGTTGCTGTGAGCTAGGCTGACGCCACGGCACTCTAGCTCGGGCAACAGAGTGAGACCATCTCAAAAAAACACATTATTTTTAACTTCTGGGCCAGGTACGACAACTCATGCCTGTAGTCCCAGCCACTCGGGAGGCTGAGGCAAGAGGATCACTTGAGCCCAGGAGTGCAGTGAGCTAGGATTATACCACTCCACTCCAGCCTGGGCAACAAAGCATGACACCGTCTCTTAAAAAAAAAATAAATTAGAACTTCTATTCTACAAAGTAATTCATAAACAAAGTAAAAGAAAATTTAGTATATAACAGACAAAGGTTTGGAATACCAAATGTAAAAGAACTCATCAAACTTATAAGAAAAAGATAAACCCGTAGAGAAATAGGACAAAAATGTAAATAGGCAAATCAGAAAAGAGAATGGAAAATAAACATAAAAAAATGTTCAACTTCCAAAGAAGAAAATGCCAAATATTTAAATACCACTTCATAACCATTAGATTGGCAAAAATTAGAGCTCTGATGAGGGGTTGGTGAGGGTGTGGGAAAACAGAAATTCATAATCACTGCAGATAGAAGTCTAAATTGGTACAATCACCCTAGGGAGAGATTCAGCAATATGCAGTAAAAATGAAGATAAGCACATTCAAGAGCCAGCAAGACCACTTCTGTTATAGATATATTTCCTAAAGAAATCTTGTACATGTTCTCCCAGGAGAAGTGTATAAAAACGTTAATTGTTGCATTGTTTAGAGTAGCAAAAAAATAGAAACAATCTAAATATTCATCAATAGGAGAATAAATAGAATAGTAGCAAAAATAGAATAAATAAAACAGAGTAGCAAAAAATAGAAACAATCTAAATGTTCATCAATAGGAGAACAGATTAAATTACAACGTACTCATAAAATGAAATGCCAAACAGCAATTAAAATGAATTAAGTACATCTAGTATCTCAACTTGGGATAGATTCCAAAAATATCACAGAGGGGGAAAACTCTTTGCAGAATTATAACTAACAATATGATAGCATGTCTCTACATCTTTAAAATATATAAAGTCATACTATATACTATTCATGAATACACATTTGTTAATAAAATATAATGACATGCATGACAATAAGAAATTCACAACAGTAGTTACTTCTGAGGAGGAAGGGGAACAAAAGGAACTTGAACTTTTAAGGAACTCTATTTTTCTCACTTAAAAAAAATCTGAAGCAAAAACATCCAAATGTTTTTTATTTCTGATTTTTGGATCCCTAAAGGTCACTGGCATTATTTTCTGTACTTTTCTGTATTTTTTAACTTAAATTTTTTTTCTCAATCAGTCAACACATGTCTTCTTAAAAACTCCAATCAGAAGGAAGGAGGAAGAAAAATAAAACTGGTTAATAGAGGGTTTGAGGAATCTCTGAATTTCTGCAAACAGTGCTGCTTTTGTTTCCCATCATCCAAGAAAATCAGAAGTTACGTGGGCGTAGTAAAATCTCCCTGTGATAAAACACACCAAGACGATGTTACAGGAAAGACAGCAAGGCCAGTTCTCCAAAAGTGTCTATCTCACCTCTCGCACGTGTCTTTTCAGGTGCATGTATACACTCTGTCCAGTTTTTCGAAAATGTCTTTCAACATGTTCCCTTCCAAAGGCCAAAAATGTATTCATGCATACATAGAGTCCACCTTCAGAACTCTAGAAGGAAGAGACAGAGTACAACATTAGCCAAGTAGTCTAGATATAGAAAAAGGAAGGGGAAGGAAGGCAAACAATGAAGACAAAGCCTGGCAAAGGGCCACCGCTGCTCCTACAGTCGTCATCAGTGACCCTCCGACAGCTCCACAGACACCCACAGTGGCAGCTCCCACCCCAGCCCTGAGGTCCAGATGCTCCGGGACAGCTGAGCACTCCATGTACCAAACGCTGGCTACGTTCAGTCAGGTGAGATGCTCAGAAGTCCTAGGAAATAAACATGCTTGTCTAATTCTCCAAAATGGGCTAGGGGAAGAGGGCTGGAAGAAAGTTGACAGGTATCCAATACTACCATCACTGTAATATTTTATCATTCTTCTTCATTCATCAGTTCAAGTCTCCAGGAACATAACGTTTTAGGTCTTTTTAGTAGGACAGGGTCCTTCAAAGATATTGTTCCCAAGTTTGAGACCAGCCTGAGCAAGAGCGAGACTCCGTCTCTACCAAAAATAGAAAAAATTAGCTGGGCATCATGGTGCATGCCTGTAGTCCCAGCTACTCGGGAGGCTGAGGCAGGAGGATCACTTGAGCCCAGGAGTTTGAGGTTGCTGTGAGTAAGCTAGGCTGACGCCACGGCACTCTAGCCCGGGCAACAGGGTGAGACTCTGTCTCAAAAAAAAAAAAAAAGATATTGTTCCCTACCTTTGGTGACACATGATATTTTAGGGAATCCATAAATAAATCATAACAATTCAATAAATAAATACAGGTTGAGTATCTCTAATCTAGAAATCCTAAATCAGAAACACTCCAAAATGAGCATTTCCTTTGAGCATCATGTCAGTGCTCAGAAGTTTCAGATTTTAGAGCATTTCATTATTTAATAATAAATTAATTAAGTATAATGCAAATACTCCAAAATCCAAAACACATCTGGTACCAAACATTTTGGATATGGGATACTCAACCTACAATAAAAATAAGTAAATAATAAAGGATTGAGTCCTATAATAATCATAGCTACATATTAATATTATTGCATGTCTGATATGTACCAGGTACTTTACATGTATTATATCTAATGCCTGCAAGTTGCATATTTCCATTATTTCCATTGTACAGTTTTAAAAATAACTGAGGATAAGTCATTTGCCCAAGTTCACACAGCTTGGAAATGTCAGAGTAAAATTTGAATCTACTTCTTTCATCCCTCAAAGCTACATTTCAAAGCATGTAATAATAATTAAAGACATATTGATAAAATGAACAGTCAAGGATACTGTTTACATTTTAGATACCTTATTTTCTACCAGAATTTCATCTCTCCTTTTCTCTCACTCTGCTTAACCTGCCATCTCTGTAAACAGGCTATAAAATTAGCCATTCTTTCCTCAATAGAAATAGATTTTATTAAGCTCCAGTTTGTCTCACTCCTCCAAATAATGAAAAAACTAACTTTGAAACTTCCATCAAAATTGTCAACAAACATATTACAAAATTCCTTGCACCACTTTGTTTTTTTTTTTTTTTTTTTTGAGGCAGGGTCTCACTCTGTCACCCAGACTAGAGTGCAATGGCATCATCATAGCTCACAGCAACCTCAAACTCCTGGGCTCAAGCGATCCTCTTGCCTCAACTTCCCAAATAGCTGGGACTACAGGTGTGTGCCACCGTGCCTGGCTAATTTTTCTATTTTCTATAGAAGATGAGGTCTCATTTTATTGCTCAGGCTGGTCTAAGGTGATCCTCTCACCTTCATCTTTCAAAGTGCTAGGGTTGCAGACATAAGCCACCATGCCTAGCATAACAAAACAGACATTGATGCTCATTACAAATATACAAAAAATAATCACTTAAAGTTCCAATAACCAAAGATCCTTCATCTTTTAAAATTTCTAACAACACAATTCTCCAACATGGTATCTGTGGTTTTTAAGCCAAGATATAAAGAAGTCCTGTCACAACGAGAATATTTAACAGCATTAACTCAAATATGTGCCTCTTGCTGTAGTACATACATTGCAATAAAGCCAAATAAATCATTAAATGAAAGATATGAAGATCACAAAGAAAAAAAGTAAAATGGTCTCTATATGCTAATGACAATATATTCTATATGGAAAATACTAAGGAATCTATAAACTAGTGACAATAGCAACTAATAATACTAATAAGTGAATTTAGCAAGATCATAGGATAGAGGTTAATAGACAAAAGTCAACTGCAATTTTATGTACTAGCAACACATACCTGCAAATGAAACTTTTAAAATGTGGCTACAAAATAGCATTCAAAAACTCATAATTATAGTACATAGCTTGCACTTCTGGATAACTTTTTTCCCTTTAAATGAGATCATTTAAATAAAATTACAAAATTCTTTTAACTATAGAAAACTCATTACATTCATTCGATCAACAGGTATTCTCAAAAGATTTTTTTTTTAATAAACATGTTCTTTGGCATGGAACCCTTAAGAAAAAAATATTGCATCACTACATGATCTATTATTCATTAAGCCCATTAAATTAAGTATCACATATTATGATTTAAAAAAATAACAGTTTCATTCTTCTCCAATAAAATGTAATTTGACCAAAGAATTCAAACAAGAAGATACACCAGGGAAAATATGGGACTTGTAACAGAGGTCTGCTCTGTCACCAACCATCTCTGTGGCCTGGGGCAGGTTGTCATCCGGTCTCTGGGCTCCAGTATTTTCCTCCTCTGACAAGGTGGTAGCAATAATTCTCACCTCACAGGGATGCACGAAGTTTAAAAAGCAGATGAAACCCATTAAATCGCTTTTTGTACTGCAAGGCATTACACAAACATAGGTTATTATTTATTATCAGCTAATCATCATCATCCTATTACTCAATCATTTTATAACTGGGGAAAACAAGCAGAAGGAAGAATAAGCGAGTGTGACAGCCACGCAGGCTGGGGATAACAAATATTGATCTGTAAGAAAAAAAATTAGGCAACTAGTGGAAGAACCAAGAAATTAGCAAGCAAAACTGAAGGCACACACACGTTCAAGGGCAGCATTTTTCTCAAGAAAAATACAGAATTGCTCTATAATGCAAGAGTTTATGAAGTAGTTTCTAGGATAATCATAAAGTCTTTGCTAATTTTATTATCAAGACTTGGACTTATTAGGGAATTTGATAGAAATTTAATATACCCCCATTCTCAATTTCTGTAGTCACTTAATATTGTCACAAAGTCCATCATCAAAGAGAAAAAATCTTGGCTAAATGTGATGGCTCACGCCTGTAGTCCCAGTACTTTAGGAGGCTTAGACAAGAGGATCTGTTGAGGCCAGGAGTTCAAGACCAGCTTGGGCAACATAGTGAGACCCTTTCTCAAAAAAAATTTAGGCTGGGTGAGGTGGCTCATGCCTATAAATCTAGCACTCTAGGAGGCTGAGGCAGGAGGATTGCTTGAGCTCAGAAGTTTGAGACCAGTCTGAGTAAGAGCAAGACCCCGTCTCTACTAAAAAATGGAAAAATTAGCCAGGCATCATGGTGTGCACCTGTAGTCCCAGCTACCCAGGAGGCTGAGGCAGGAGGATCGCTTGAACCCAGGAGTTTGAGGTTGCTATGGGCTAGGCTGACGCCATGGCACTCTAGCCTGGGGAACAGAGGGAGACTCTGTCTCAAAAAAAAAAAAAAAATTTAAAAGAAGAGAAAAAATTTTTGATACCCAGAGAGGAATGGCGACATAGGGAAGGTATCTATTATGAACATCCACAAGCATCTTCCTTCCATCAGACGCACAGACTGTCCTCAGAGGCAGCACATGCCCTCCTCACCGGCAGTGCTGAGACGGAGGGACTGCCCAACAGACTTGCCCGCAGTTCTAAAACTTCAGGACACATTAAGACAGAAAACTCTTTCAAAGCTACCACATATAGAAAACACACCCCAATCTAATGATCTATGCTTTCTTCTCTCTTGCCCTATGAACTTCTAAACATTGGCCCTGTAATACACTATTTTCACATACAAAGTCAATATCCATGGCATGCACTCTAAATAACTGCTTTCAATCATGATGACAAGTCTATGCTGATAAATCTCTCCCATTTCCCTCGTGACCAAAGCACAGACACTGGCATACAGCCCGGGATCAGAGCTAAGCTAACTGACTCAGACCCTCAACTCATCTTCCCATTAACCAGCCCCAGCCACGAAGATCACCACCCCAGAAAGCAAAGTAAAGCACTTGCTTCCATGTGGCCCATAGTGCAGCCAAGAAACCAGACAGGTTAGAGAACTATACCAGTTGACAGTGCAATGCAACTGGAAGAATCAGAAGATAGAATACAAAATAATACTTTTCAGAGTAATGGTGATAGAAGCGCACTATTATATTAAAATTGATTACAAATAGGAAAGTATTGAGTTTTTTTTAAATGGTAGCATAAGAATGGAGATTCCAGAAATATATCCATTCCATGATAATTGCTTAATAGATATCAAACCACAAGAAACACAAAAATGGGGGAGAGAATTACTAATAAAATTTATTAGGATAATTAACATCGGTATAGAAGAAAATTAACCTAGATCCTCATCATGTAATAAGGTAATCATCTGTAATAAGTTCAGACAGATCTAAGAAATAAGCAGTTAAAAAACTAGAAAATGGCCAGGCGCGATGGCTCACGCCTGTAATCCTAGCACTCTAGGAGGCTGAGGCGGGAGGATCATTAGAGCTCAGGAGTTCAAGACCAGCCTGAGCAAGAGCCAGATCCCATCTCTACCAAAAATAGAAAAAATTAGCCGGGCATGGTGGCACATGCCTGAATTCCCAGCTACTTGGGAGGCTGAGGCACAAGGATCATTTGAGCCCAGGAGTTTGAGGTTGCTGTGAGCTAGGCTGACGCCATGGCATTCTAGCCTGGGCAACAAAGTGAGACTTTGTCTCAAAAAATAAAAAAAATAATAAATAAATAAAAATAAAAAATAAAAACTAGAAAAGAGCAGAATAACATA